GTGATTAGGTAATGTGGGGTGTGAGTTTGTGATTTGTTATGAAGTTAATATCATTTAATGTGAAGGGGCTAGGGGGTATATTGAAGAGGAAGGAGGTGGGTAAGTTGGTAAGAGTAGAGCGCCTAGATGTTTTATTTTTACAGGAGGCAAAATTAGAAAAGGTTGAGGGTACTTTATTTAAAATGTTGTGGTTTTGGATGAGTTTGATTGGGTGATGAAGGAATCAGTTAGAGCCTTTGGAGGTTTGCTGTGTGTTTGCAATAAGTTGGAGTTTGTGAAACAAGGGGGAGTTTTTAGATGATGGTTTTGTGGGTATTTTAGGTGAATGGGGATCATAGAAATTGAAGTGTAATTTTGTGAATATTTATGCTCCAAACGATAGATAGAAGAAAGTAAAGCTGTGGGAAGAACTTTGGCAAATTGGAAGAGGAAGGAAGATGGCTGATTGCAAGAGATTTCAACGTAGTTAGGTGTGCAACTGAAAGGAAGGGTAAGACAGGGGAGTCATTGGAAATGAGGGACTTTGATGATTTTATTATGTCAGTTGGATTGGTGGATCTAAAGTTGGTAAATAGATGCTTCATGCGGTATTGGCCAGATGGGTCATCTATGAGTCATTTAGACAGGGTCTTGATGTGCAATTTGGGAGGGGAATGGGTGCAGCCAGGATTGAAGAAGATTGTGTCAGATCATTGTCCTATTATGGTCCAAACAATAGCAGCAGATTGGGGACCAAAACCTTTTTGAGTGTTTGATGCATGGCAAGAACACCCGCAATTTAGAAAGGTGGTTGAGGATAAATGGAAGGAATTAAATGTGGAAGGGTATGCTTGATACAGATGTTTGCAGAAGCTAAAAAGGTTCAAACAATTTTTTGAGAGGTTGGAATAAGGAGGTGTTTAAGAACATGGAAGCACAATTCCAAAATGCTGCAAATAGAGTAGAAAAGATGGACTTGCAAAATGAAGTGATGGAATTAGAGGGAAGTGAGGTGGATCAAAGGAAAGAAGGTTTCCAAGAGATATGGGATATTTTGAGGAAAAGAAAGGCCCTATGGAAACAAAAATCAAGAAGTGATTGGGTTCAATTGGAGGATCAGAATACGAGATATTTTCATAAAATTGCAAATGGGAGAAAGGCCTATAATAGTATCTCGGGATTATTTTGTGATGGTCATTGGGTAGAGGAACCAGATATGGTAAAGAAAGAGGTGGTTACTTACTTCCACAAGACGTTTCAAGAAGAATCTTGGAATCGACCCAAGCCTTCGAATATTGTTTTCAAGAGAATTTCTAAAGAAAATAAGGAGTGGCTTGAAAGACCTTTTACTATTGTGGAGATTGAAGAAGGATTACAGAGCTGTGATGGAAGGAAAGCCCCAAGGCCTGACGGGTATAATTTTAATTTCCTTAAATTTATCTAGAATAGTGTAAAGGAAGACTTTGTTGATTTTTTTCAAGAATTTCATCAAAACAGCAAGTTAGTAAAGGGGTTGAATTCTTCTTTCCTTGCATTAATCCCTAAAAAGCTAAGTCCTAGGGAATTAAAAGATTTTAGGCCTATTAGTTTGATAGGTTGTGTACAACTTATTGGCTAAGGTGTTAGCTAATAGGCTTAAGATTGTAATACTAGAGATTATAAGTGAAATGCAATATGCTTTTGTTGGGGGAAGACAATTAGATGACAGTGTTCTAGCTTTAAATGAAGTTGTGGATGAGGTTCGGAATATGAAGAAACTAGCTTTTGTTTTTAAGGTAGATTTTCAAAATGCTTATGATTCTGTTAACTAGTCATATCTAGATTGGATGATGGATAGATTTGGTTTTGGAGCCAAATGGAGGGGGTGGATTATGGAGTGTCTCTCAACTACAAGGGTTTCAATGCTGGTAAATGGAAGCTCGACAAAGGAGTTTGAGTTGGAGAAAGGGTTAAGGCAAAGGGACCCTTTGTGTCCTTTTCTATTTCTGATGGTTGTGGAGGGGTTGAATGGACTGGTTAAAAAAGCAGAGAATGAGGGACTGTTACATGGAGTAGAGATTAGTAAAAGGGGGTTGACAGTTTCTTTGTTACAATTTGCAGATGATACGGTTATTTTGGGCAGAGATGATAGTGAAAATATTCTCATGGTCAAAACTATTCTA